GGTATTGTATTTCTGACATCATGCAGGCCTTGTTTCAATTGAGATAGAATCTGCTTATCAGCACTGACAAACGCGAATCTCAGCCTCCAATTCGGCGACAAAAAAGGGCTGGCAGGCAGCGCTCATTGCGATCTTGCTGGGCGCAAGAATCAAGAAGGGGGTAGAGTTCAAGTCAATTGGCGGTTCGTCGCAGAGGATTGCTCAAGCAACGTGAGTCCAAGTCAATAGCCCGGCTGTGAGATGGCAAAGGAGGACTTGAAGGCGTTGGAGGATTGGATCCAGCGCCTCAGCTTGTCTCTGAACCGGGGGCACGAAACGTGGCGAGGTCTCCGCAGTTTCTGAAGCCCGGTTTATCGCTAGGATGAGACCCCCCAAAGCCATCTCAATGGCTTGTGACGCCATGTCTGTTTCGTCAAATCTGCATGTGGCAGGGCTGGCTACCACCAACGGACAAAATGTTGATAAGCATCAATCCTGCTACAGCAGGGAAGAGAGCGACCTTGAAGAGCCAGCCAGCCAGCCAGCCAGCCAGCCAGCCAGCCAGCCAGCCAGCCAGCCAGCCAGCCAGCCAGCCAGCCAGCCAGCCAGCCAGCCAGCCAGCCAGCCAGCCAGCCAGCCAGCCAGCCAGCCAGCCAGCCAGCCAGCCAGCCAGCCAGCCAGCCAGCCAGCCAGCCAGCCAGCCAGCCAGCCAGCCAGCCAGCCAGCCAGCCAGCCAGCCAGCCAGCCAGCCAGCCAGCCAGCCAGCCAGCCAGCCAGCCAGCCAGCCAGCCAGCCAGCCAGCCAGCCAGCCAGCCAGCCAGCCAGCCAGCCAGCCAGCCAGCCAGCCAGCCAGCCAGCCAGCCACGTGCACACAATTATGCAAGCAAGCAAGCAAGCAAGCAGGCAGGCAGGCAGGCAGGCAATCCAGGTGGGCAGACAGGCAGGGCAGGACAGTCAGGGCAGGCAGGGCAGGCAGGGCAGGCAGGGCAGGCAGGGAGAAAAGTCACAAAGACAGAATCATTTTTTTGTATCCTCCGGCTGGCCGGGCCCGTGGCCTGGCCCGATCCGGCTTCCAGCTTCGGGCAGGGCCCGCGGGCTTTTCCACAGCCCGATCCCGCCTTCCGCCTTCCGGCTTCCGGCTTCCGGCTCCGCAGCCCAGGCCTCCGGCTTCCGGCCTCCAGCTTTCGGCTTCCGGCCCCTGTTTTGTGTTTGGGTCGGTTTAAAGTGTTTTAGGGTTGGTTTAGGGTAACATTAGGGCCAACTTAGTGTTGGGTGCTTTACGGAAAATTGGTTTAGGAGTTAGTTTAGGTTGGTCTAGGCTGGTTTAGGGCCAGGCTTGGTGTAGGGTGGCTTCGGTCTGGTTTAGGGTTGGTTTTTAGGGTGTCAGTTTAGGGTTGATTTAGAGTCGGTGCACGGTTCGGCTAGGGTTGATTGCTTTAAAGTTGGCGGGTTTGGTTTGGGGTCGGTTTAGGCTTGATGTATTCGTTTAAGGGGTTGTGCTTTATGTTGACGGGTTTGGTTTGGGGTTGGCTTAGAGTTCGTTTGGGCTGCCTTGAAGTGGTTTTGGGTTAGTTTGGGTTGGTGTAGGAGTGGTTTAAGTTAGTTTAGATGTGATTTGGGTCGGGCCCGTCGTGGGTTGACTTAGGGTTGGTTTCGGGTTGGCTTATGGTGTTTTGGGTTGGTTTAGGGTCGGTTTCGATTGGTTTAGGGATGGTTTACAAGTGTTTTAGGTTTTGTTAAGGGTGGTTCAGGGTTGTTAGCTTGGTGTGTGTTTGGATTGGTTTAGGGTTGGTATAGGGTTGGTTTACGGGGCGGTTAGGGTGTTTTATAGTTTACGGTGCTTTAGGTTTGGTTTCGGGTTAATTTCCGTTCAGTTAGACGTGCTTCTGGTTTGTTATCGGGTGGTTTAGACTTGCTTTAGGGTGTTCCAGGCTGGGTTTAGGTCTAGTTTGTTTAAGGGGTTCAAGTTGGTTTACATTTGATTTGGTTTGGTCAGGAAACTTGAATTCGTAACAAAACAAGACGCAAACAAAATGGAAATCGTATTAAAACCGCATTACAATCGCCTTTTTTTTGCGTTTTAATACGATTTCAATACGATTTGAATACGGTTTTTAATACGATTTTTTGCACCCCCTTCTTTCAAGTGCGTGTCCAAGGTGTAAAACAACGCAACACAACCGCAAATGTTGCAGGAGTCGTATTGAAATCAGAAATTCGAGAATAGTAAAAAAACGTAATGAAAACAGAAAAATAAATGTTCAAGAAAATGCCAGTTAGGCTGACAGAGTAGGTCACAAGCTGAGGGTTTGAGTAGCGTGCCTTGAAGTGGTTTTGGGTTAGTTTGGGTTGGTGTAGGGATGGTTTAAGTTAGTTTAGATGTGATTTGGGTCGGGTCCGTTGCGGGTTGGCTTAGGGTTGGTTTCGGGTTGGGTTGGTTTAGGGTCGGTTTCGATTGGTTTAGGGTTGGTTTACAGTGTTCTGGGTTTTGTTTAGCTGTTTGTTTCGGGCTGGTTCAGGGTTGTTTCTGATTGGTTTAGTGGCTTTGGAAATAGGTAAGGGTTGCTTTTGGGGTTGGTTTAGGGTCCTCTTAGGGTTGTTTTGGGGTTTGTTTCGGGCAAGTTAAACGTGTTGTTGGTTTGTGTTTGGGTGGTTCAGAATTGGTGAAGGGTGTTTCAGGGTTGGTTTGGGGTAATTTTGGGGTCGGTTTGGGGTTGATTCAGGGTCGGTGTGCGGTTCTTTTAGGCTTAAAAGTTGGTGGGTGTGGTTTGGGGTTCATTTAGTGGAGAGTTTGAGGATTGGTTTACGATTGGTTTAGGTTTTGTTTGGTAGGGTCCGCTTTGTGTTGTCTTGGGCTTGGCATGGCGGATTTGACACGCACGAACGTAGCTGAAAGCTTCTTGGTTTGGGGCGCAAACCTCTGTGCGTCAGGCAAATGCGTCCACTGATGTCCGCTGTGAACCGATGCGCTTTGCGCAGTCCTTTTTCCCCAAACGTTCTAAACTCATGTAGAGTGACTCGCCTGTTGCCAAGCCCTAGCCTGGATGCCTGGCGCAGCTCTCTTGGTGGACGGGTTCACTTGTCTCCCTTTTTGTCTCCCTTCATTTGTCTCCCGTTGTCTCGCCCTGGATGCCTGGCACGGTTTTTTGGGTGGTCGACAACTTCCTTTGTCTCCCTTTGTCTTCTTCTTGTTGTCTCCCAGCCTGGATGCCTGGCACGGCTCTGTGGGTGGACGACGGATTCATTTGTCTCCCTTTGTCTCCCTTTATTTGTCTCCGGTTGTCTTTTAGCCTGGATGCCTGGCACGGCTCCCTGGCTGGACGGCATGCGCTTGATCAAGCCACAGGCAGCATGCTGCGGATGCACGCATGAGTGCTTCAAGTGAATGGTTGTGTGTTCTTGGTGTGTTCCAGCTGACCACATCGGCGCGTTCCAAGTGAACACGCGCTGTTTGCATGCGACCACAGAGTGTGTTCCACGTGAGCACATGTTTGTGCTCCAGGTGAATGCGTGCGACTGTTCTGATAAAACACATATGCGATCCGGTCAAAATTCTTAGTAAGGGAGTTCAGTCCACAGAGGCTTGGGCCACGCGGTCTTATTAGGGGCCATAGCAGCGATGTCCCAATTCAAAAGAGCACTCCACAAAAACCTTACTCAGATCAGCAGCGCCGCCCGCGACAAACGTAGCTGAAACTTCTTGGTCCGGCAACCGCCGCAAACGCATTCAGCGATGTCCGCTGTGAACCGACGCGCTTGGGACAGTCTTTTTCGTGTCAACAAGAATCGGTTTGTCTCAAAGAAAAAGAGGGGGAACTTAAAAAGTCCCATTTGATTGCACCCAGCGGTCTCATCAAGGGCCATGGCAGTGATGTGCCAATTCAAAAGCGCCCGTAATGAACACCTTTACTCAGGTCAGCGACGCCGTTCACGACAAACGTAGCCGAAAGCCTCTTGGTCTGGGGCAGCCGCCGCAAACCCGTTCATTGCTGGCACGCAGGAATTCCACAGATTCTGACAAACCTGGTCTGCAGCTAGTGTGTGCTGCACGCACGCAGGCACGCATGCATGCACGCGCGCAGGCAAGCAAGCAAGCAAATAAGCGCCCGCCGTGAGCCAACCCTAAACCCAGCCTAAATCCACACTAAACCCACCATAAACCACCCAAGAATGCGCCTTAAACTCAGCCTAAAACTATCCAAAACCCATCCCCAGCCCAAGCCACCCACAACGTACCCAAAAGCAACCTTAAGCCAACCAGAGGTCCACCCTGATTGCACCTTGAATCCAACCTCCTAAACCAACCCTAAAACCTACCCTCAAACTGATTTAACCAAGAACCGTAAACCCTACATGAACACGGGGAAAACCTAATGGAAACCACAAACTCGAATGCAGATTGCTTGCCAGAAGCTACCGTCGTAGTTTCTTTCGCGACTTTTGGGGCAACCTGCAGCATGCGCGAGACTCATTTTCAACTTTCTGCGATGACAAGCCAATCAAAGGCTGCGAGGACTACACCAGGTCGCCACGCGCCGTGTCACGAAACGATCGCAGCAACTTTTGCGGTTGCAAGTTCCTCCCTTGCCCTTCTGGCGCGCAATTTTGTTTCTTCCTTGCAACGCTTTCTTTGCGTCAGCCTTTGCAAGCTGCTACCTGGCTTGTGTGCTCTGCTTGCACGCCTGTCGCGCTTGCACGTTGCGTTCGTGTTCTGTGATTTTATGGGACTACTTGCTGCGTTGCTTCGAAGACTGTATTGCCTGCGCAATTTGCGCAACCTATCTTGCATCAAGCACACATTTCCCAAGACAGTCCCCTGAAGCAACCACGCCCAGCAACGTCCTCAACAAACCCAAGCCACACGCAAGGCATTCTTTTGAGTTTGGGTGGGGATGACTTGAGAGCTATCTTTCTTTAAGGCTCATATTCTGCTTGAACTGCATGTCCTTCGTCACTTGTATTGTCCGTTTGGATCAAACAGCTTGCAATTGGGATTCTTCCTTGAGCCCTTGACAACTTAGGTGCAAGCACATCGGAGTAGTGCACTTCATCAAGTGGTCATCGCTCATGTGCAGGCTCTTACTTTTTATCGCTATTCTTATGTCCTGCATACTTTTGCTCGCGAGCCGGAGCGTGCTTGCGCGAGCGGAAACCTGGGGCGGTTGGATGTCTCCTGGCACGTGCTTCTTCCTGACCGGGAAAGAGTATGGGGTTGGTGTGGAGGTGTTGGATGCCGGCAGCATTCATGCAGGCTATAGCAGTGCACAATATTGCGGCCTGACAGCGACAGAGGTGGCTGCAAGCTTCAGCTCCATCCTTGAGAATCTCGAAGACAAAGGTTGGATGGAGGATTGTCTGCCAAATCTGTTTGGAGAAGGAGCTGATTGTAGGCAGGGCTGGTTTGGGTGGCTTGTGCCGCTTGTGCCCAGGCAACATGTGGCAGGGTCCGGAGGGGTTGGGGGTCTGGGGGTCGGGGGTCTGGGGGTTTGGGGGTCTGGGTTCGTCCAAGCACTTGTGAAGGAAGTTTGTTTGCCAGGTGCAATACAGAAACCGAGCCCTGCCCGCAAGACCACGTCATCGACTTTGGGTACGTGTTCCAGTTTTTTATGACCATGTTCTGGGCGGGATTCTTTCTCACTGCTTCGGCCTTTGACATCTTGAACGATGTCCGAGGCAAGTACAAGGATCTGAAAGGCATAACGAAGTACATGCGGCTTGCTTGGGCTTATGTGCTTCTAACCATGTTGCCAAACTACTTGCTGTTCCCCTTGGGCTCAGTGAGTATGTTGTCAGAACCGGCAGGCAAGGTGGTGATGTTCAGAACTCCTCCCGACCTCACTCCCCTTTACCTTGCCAGCTTTCTAGTTGCATGTCCTTGCCTTTGCGTGGCGGAATGCTTTGCCTGCTCCATCACGCAAGCGGAGGGTGGCAATGTTGGCGCAAAGGGCGGCAGGTACTTCGATTGCACCTTGTGTGTTACGATGGCACTGCTGCTGATTCCAGCGATTTTCATCATCTCGGGCTACCTTGAAATGGGCATCAAGTTCTACATTGAGTTTAACTTTCAGCTATCCATCGAGCTCTCCTTCACCGCTGTGGCGATGTGGGCTAAGCTGTTCCTCGGGTTTGCAGGAGTCTTGGACACAATTGCTTTTGTCCTGTCCTTGGCCAAGGATATTCTTGGCCAGTTTAAGAAGAATAAGAGCACGCCACAGCCTGCGCAAGGGCCAGAAGGCTCATGTTGAGATCCTTCAATCAGCTCAGAGGGTCATTTGTTTGCTTGCTCAACCAGACACTTGGCTCGGAGTGTCATACTCAAAGCACCAGCTAAAAGCTGTGCACTGATTTCTTCGCGACCTGAAGCTGCTCAGACCTCCGCGTTTCGGACAAAACATGTGCTGTGAAATTGGGGGTTGAACGGCTGATGGTGCGTGGCTGGGGGTTGTTAAAGCATGATCAGTTGGCTCTCTCTTTCCTAGGCAGGGCTGCAGCATCTCTGATTGTTGAGGGTTCAACTCAGTCTTGATGTTTTGCCATGGAGGGCGTGTTCCGCAGACCTGCGCCCAGGCTTTCCCTGAGTGCGCGGTGCAGGGAGTGGTTCTGCGACATGAGGGCGAGCACGGCCTCTTTGCAGATCTCTCGCTGTACGGCCATGCCGGCTGCTTCTTAGAGAACTGCAGCTTCCGCTCATGTGGCAATGTTTGATTTGTGGAATACAACGTGCTTGTGGGCTTTTTGGCTTTTGAGCGGGATCTCTTGCTTTTTTCCTTTTCTCTCCCTTGTTTTTCACTGACTCTTTGGCTTCTGGCGCCTTTCAAGGCAAGGCCACGGACAAGTTTGAGGCCGAGGGCGCAGGCGTTTGCGCCAGGGCCTGCGCAGCCGTGGAGGGGTGCACACACTGGAGCTTCGGACAGCAGTATGGCTCCAAGAAGTGCTTCCTCCGCACTTCAGATGCAGGCGCGCGGGGCGGGCGGCTTGGGATTGGGAGAGCAATTCTTTTGGCTCAGAGAGAGCGAGAGAGAGAGTTCGAGAGAGAGAGAGAGAAAGAGAGAGAAAGAGAGAGTGAGTGAGAGTGAGAGTGACGGACGGGATGGGATGGGTTTGGTTTTGATTGTTTTTTGAGGCCGCCGCGTGTTGGCGCATTGGGTGTCCGGCACAAAGACCTGCGGCCCGGCACCGCTGCCCCCGGGCTTCGTGGCCCACGGGGTCGCCACCTGCGCTGCGATGAAGAGCTGCGACGCCGGGAAGTCCGTGGAGTGCCCGGACGCCGCCTGGCCGGTTGCCCGTGGCCCGTTTTCACCGCTGAAGAGCCGGATGCTTTGCGTCTATAGAACCCCAACGGGAGAGAGTCAGTTCGTCCCCAGGAACCGTGGAGTGGGTTCGCAATCTCACATTGCCATTTGCAGAACTCGCGTTGCCTTTGTGGTAGGTAGCCGCAGCGATCAACACCTGGATCTTCGCCATTGACCACCTGAAGCGCGCCTTCAAGGGCCGCGTGGATGCGGATACCTGGGGCCACATCGAACGAATCGGCAAGGAGCGATTCACGGTGAAAGAACAAATCCTGTTTGCAGGGAGAGAGAGGGACAGAGGTCACAGAGATGCTGCGGCTGAGATCGAGCCCGTCAGCCGCATACACTGATCTCAGGAGTCTGCGAACTTCCGGGCTCAGCTGACAGCGGAGTACCGCCCCAGCGACAAGGACTTCCCGCGAGTCGTCTACAACAACAGGCAGAGAGAGATGATTTGTGTTGAAGCGTGCGCATACTTTGAGCTGCAGTCATTGTCCTTCTTTTTCCCCTAACATGATATGCACTGCCATTTGAACGATGATGTTTCATCATGTGTTTGAACAGCAGTTACTCTCTAGATTAGAAACCCGAGCCAAGAAGCCAATACCAAGCCCTCAGGTTGATCTTCAACCACTTGGAGGAGGTGCTGGCGGCGCAGCCCCGCGCTGCCGTGAGCCAAGAGGACGCCTCCCTGCCGTTGCTCGACTTGCGTTTGGGGGATTTAGGGCTTGGCAAAGCGAGTTGGGCAAAGTTCTAGGGTTTGATTCTTTTTCCATTCTTTTCAACCAACGTTCTTTTCAAAAACCGGATCCGTTTCCCCTGGATTTATTGAGTTTTTTTAGAAAGAAGGATCCCTGGAAAGAATGGGGAAGGTACCACTAGAAAAGTTGGTTTCAGCCAGAAGGGAGGGCTGCATCCAGGGCTTGGCAAATGATGTGTTTCACAAGACCCGACTCGACCTTGAAAGGGAGCAGGCCTTTAAGCATGTTGGCCCTATCCTGGGGGCAAGCCGTGGACCTCTCCTGGGAAGGGTGGGTGCCTTTTGCCAAGTTGGGCAGCCTGTGTAGAGGCTTCGATTTTGGCTTGGGGCCTGAAGCAGCTTCTTGACAAATGCATGGATGTGCATCTTCATAGGAGCATTACCCCGCTTGTGTGTTTGCCTATTGCAGGGTTTGCACTGGCCTGACAAGCAGGCATGTCCCGTCTTGCTCAGGAATCCTCTGCGCTTCGGACGCCTTTGTGGGAAGACTTCCTGCTACGAGCTCTGAGAAGAGTTCGTTTGACAGATTGATGCTTTCTGACAAGAAACAATTCTTTGATAATTCTTTGTGTTGCAGAAGTGGGGGGGATGCAGAAGGAAGAGCATGACACATGAGTGACGGTACGATTGGCACGCTCGAGACGCCTTGCATTTTATCCAAGAACAGGATGCAACTACGAAATCATTTGGAGGTCTATTGTGAGATTCCCGGCACCAGCCACTTTTGTCCGAGCCGGCCGTGATGCCATGGAGAGAACCATGCGGCTGGCCTCGCGGCCGGCCTCGGCCTCGGGCTCCCCGCTCTCTCCGAGCCTGGCGATGCTGGAGCGGGCGTCAAAAACGCCGGCATCATCGCTTCCATTTAGGATGGCCAGTGACAAGACAAATACACGACAGGAAGAGCTCCAGAACAAGCATCAGCAGCAATAACAGCAACCACAGCGGCAGAGGTTGGTCAGATGTAGGGTTGTGCCCTGATGCAAAAAGGACATCACCAGGGCTGGCTTTGCCGTTTGCTCAATAGCACAATGCGGATCATGGCGGAACCAAAGAAGCAGTTCGAAGAGTTCCGGAGTAAGATTCCGCGGGCAATGCAAAAACCAGGCCTCAATTTCCTCTGCAATGGCAGTCAGCTCATCTTTTTGTCAGACTCATAACCTCCTTCTTTCGAAAGGGCTCTTTCTGTTCTTGGTGTTTCTCTGACTTTCTCTGAGAGTAGTTTCAGCACGAGAGGTTAGGTCTGTTTGTTTTTAACGGCTTTCAGCAGGTACACGTGCTTTGCCGCATTCAGATCGTTCGCAGTTTCCAGGAGCGAGCTGCCCGGCTCTCCGATGAAGCCATGGCAGCCCAGGCGGTCGCGTTTCGAGCGCTCTCGCCACGGAGCTGTAGCTTGGGTGGGGGGGAGACAAACTTTCGAAGCTGTTATTGAACACTGAAAAGCTGGTCTAAAGGTGTTTCACGGTGTTCAATCAGCGATACAGCGGCAAACCATGTCGAGAACTTGCGGGAACCTTCCATGACGAGGTGTGAAGAGGCCTCTTCTTTCCAGTGGTGCTTACTTGGGCCCTGGGTTTTGTGCCGTGCCAGTTGCAGCAGTTCCTGGACCGTCATTACCAGGCCAAAGCCGCAACGAGTTGAGCCTGGCTTGTTTGTTTGCTTCTTCCAAACCTGCCCGGCCTAAACTTCGAGCTCCGGGATCCATCCGCTCTGAACGTCGAAGCGCGTGGCACGAGAGGTGACCTCCTCCATGGGTCGGAGTTGGAACCTGGGGGCCGTTGCGCCCGCGGAGTTGGATGGCACATCTTTGCGGAAGACCCGTCGATTTGGCCGCATTTGCCTCTTGTCTGGTTCTGGCACAGAGCTGAAATGAAACACTGGGCAGTGCAAAGTTTAGAACTAGGCAGTCCCAATCACAAATATGTGCGACTACCCTCTGAATTCTTCACATGCTTTCAGGTAGACTTCCGCGTTACCAGGTTTGATTATGACTGAGAGGTTGTGCAAGCTGCTGTGCAAGCCCTTGCATACGCCGGCGTGCAGCTGCCTCGCTTGATCGGTAGGGGATGTTTTCAGTACTTGGAACAGCTAAATGGCTGTGGCTCAAAAAACCGGTGCGTAACCCCTCCTGTTTAATTTTCAGCAACCAATGCTGTGAGTGGTGGGCTTTTTGGGGGAGTCCTGCTCACAGGGATAAAGGCCAAAAACAGCAAGCCAGTCCTTGGACCAACACAAAAAAAAACCTCGAAGAAAACAAAAAAAACACAGAATCCATGTTTTTTTTTTTTTTTTTAAACCAACAATCTGCTGGAGACTATGTACTGGCTGAGGACTCCTGAACATTTCCCCTAGGACTTTGTTTTTGGTGTTTGTTTTTTTCTTCAAGGTGTTTTTGGTTTTTGCCCAGAAAACCAAAAAAGCCTCGATTTTTGTTTTTGTTTTTTTGGGTTTGGAGATGTAAACAAAAAACTTGTTTTTTTTTGGGCACAAACCAAAACAACCTCGAAGAAAACCAACAAAAGCCAAAGAAACCAAAGTCCTAAGGAAAATGTTCAGGAGTCCTCAGCCAGTACATAGTCTCCAGCAGATTGGGTTTTTTGGTTTCTTCGTTTTTTTGCTTTTCTGAGGTTTTTTTGGTTTTGCCCTATGAAGTCTCTCTCTCTCTCTCTATACTATAGCAACTGCCTTTTCCAGACACCAGATGTTTAGCAAGAGTGTCTTCCCGTGTTATATTCACACACCTGAGACAGTGCTAGCCCTTAGTTTTCATTAGGCCTGGCAGGGCGCTTGAAGGTCTTCTGGGAAGAGGCAGGCCTTTTGCGGGTCATGTTCGTGCTTCCATTAGACTTCCACCTTCAGTTAACAACTATGTAAGGCATCCTGTTCATGAATAGGACTTAGTCAGGGAATAGTTCCAATCTATTTGCTGTATCATATTTGCTGCATCAACATCGAATTGGACTTGTAACAGAGTTGAAGAACAAGATACTGTATGTGCAGTTGAATGTTTGTTCTAATTGAGGATTAAAGTAGCCAAATCGGACTTTAATCAAAGACAATGTGCTATGTAAATGGACTTTGAAAGTCTATGTTGAGTGCTCATGTAAGTAGGATATACTTTCCAAACAGGACTTTAATCAAAGATAATGTGCTAGGTAAATGGACTTTGAAAGTCTATGTTGAGTGCTCATGTAAGTAGGATATACTTTCCAAACAGGATTTTAATCAAAGTTAATTGCAGTTTGACAAGCACGTGGAAAGATAGGAGCAGATTTGAAAAGGTGGAAGATGGCAAATGAGTAGAAGAGCTGTGTAAGGAGCTTCAAAAGGAGTCTTACAAGCAGCTTGACAGGAGGCTTCTGAGGAGTTGTTTACGAAGCCCTGTACAATGAGCCTGAGGAGTGTTTATAGCGCCCTGCTTCCTCGAACTCGCAGTGAGGCAGCATCAGCTTGGAACTCACTGTTCACAGTGTGCGGTCACTCTTTGGTCAAATCTGCAGCCTTTTGGCGCAATGTCTGCGAAGATGAAAGCGCGGCACCAGGGATCATACAATTCCAACAGACTTCAAGACAACCAAAATATGCAAAGCCTCAGACAACGGGTCATAGACTCAACTCCTACATTTGCCAAGGCAAATGTCGGACTTGGTGCCAGTTTTTTTGAGTTTTATCGAGTGTTTTGTTTTTTACTATGCGTGCCCAAAAAGGTGCTTAGTTCCCTTACGGGGGAACAACAAAAAAACAAAAAACAACAGGTGTTTACGTCTAAATTACCACCACTCAGGGCATTGACCTCTCTTAATTTTGAGCCACACCCAAATGACATCTCGGAGCGCGCCTTCGTGCGATCTGCGGCTTTGCAGCGGTCAGGTTCCGCTGACCGACAGCGAGATTGTGAAGCTGCCGCGCATGGAGGAAGAGAACATGCCGCGAACTTCAAGTAGAGCCTCACGAGAAGCGCAATTCATATTGACTACCTTCGTGGAGAAGATGGACGAGAATGTCCGAGAGATGCATGGGTTTCATTTGGATTCAATGAATTTATGAACTCAGAGGGCTCCGCGGCTGCATGGTCCTAGCAACACAGGTTTTTGTGCACTCTCAGAGGCATTTGCAATTAGGATTGGTTGCAACAACCATGCACCTACTGGATGGAGAGGCCCACGAACCAGCGCCGTTGTGCAGGGCTCATCAGCAACGCGTGCCAGCAACGTGCTGCACTCGGACTTTGTGTGGTTTTTCAACAGCTAGTGTATGTGCCACTCGCGGTCGGATTATGGTCCTTGTTTCCATACTTGACGCGCGCAGAAACACAAGGCAACATGTCGTCGTTGCTTTTCACGAGGTGTCAGCTGAGATCCGTACTCGAGCTACGCACTGAGCAGGACGTGTTGTGGTTTGTTTCAGATGCCGAATCGGGTTGAGACATGCATCCAGTAGACATGTTTGCCTGCCCGCTCACAAGCGCTCTAGGATAGGGCCTGTTCAGGAGATTATTCAGCTGCTCGAGGAGCCGACGGAGGTTTGCCAGCAGGTCCTGAGGAACTCAGTGGTGACCGCTGCTACAGAGGCGCTGCGACCCACTGGATGGACATGGGGTGGGAGCCACAATCAAGCCTGTGGCCCCAACGAATGTCCCCAACGCCAGCGGTCATGCGTGCTGCTGGCTTGTTGCAGGTTGCCAGACAACCTGAGCCCGGCTGCGATTGATCAATTAGTTGCAGGCGTTGGAGCCCTGAATCTTTCAGACTAAGCGATTCGTTCCATGGGTCGAGCGTGCAACTGCCAGGTGGGTGAGCAACATGGACACGCGCCTGGACCGTTTGATGCGCGCTGCAGAGATTGCAGAAGCAGCACAGAAGCAGCTGCTGGTCGTTGAGGCCTTGCCGCATGTCTTGTGCGTCGCCTGCTGATACACGATGCTTTGACTTGCTTCTGCGTGTCACAATGTTTGGGGAGCTGACCGCATGCTCGAGGCGGTGTTTAATGCAGCATTTGGCTCGGCAGGGAATTTAGTAGATTCCAGTTTCAAGAAGCCCTCATTGTCGCTCGCTGCAAGGCACCTGTGTCCACACTGACCCAAGTGAAGTCCAGCAAACCAATGCCATTCTGTACGGGACCACTTTGGAATCCTTCAAAATATGGAGGGACCGAATTTGAAGTGACTCAAAGGGAGATGCTGTAGGGACAGGTGTTGCCTGAAGTCAGCCTCCAGCCGCTCAGGCTCGCTGTCATGGCCAACCGTTCCAGTTCCGTTATGGCTATTCCGCCATGCGAGCGCCACCCTCAGCGCGAGTTTGGGGGTTGAAAGTCGCTTCACGCCAGAATTCTTGTGGCTAGCTAGCATGTGGCCGCGGGTCAAAATCCCGTACCCCCAGTGATCATCCCAATCCCGACTAAAATACGCTAAAATGGGTGGTGCACTTACCCCAAAATGGGATCCCATTGGGTTTTGACCCACATGTAGCAAAAACTCATCGGCCAGCCATCCGACTTTCGCGCGGCGCTTGCCGAGGTATAGTCCGAAGTCTCGGTTTTGGAAGGGAGTTGGCGCGCAGGGAAGCCCAGTGCCGCAGGTGCAGTTGGATGTGCCAGCGGAGACTTGGAGAGGGAGAGAGGTTGAATACCAGAATAGAGACTCATGATCATAGGTGTCCTTTTTAGAATAGCTTGGTCAAGAATAGATGGGTTCCACTGGTTTCGATGGGTTTATGCCCCATTTACCGGGGAAACCTTTTCTATTTTTCCCAAAGGCCAGCTATTCTCATGATTCCCGAGCAGCCGTATTCAGCGCACACGCCTGTTGCTTTGTTGCCATGCCATGCCTGCAATCAACCACCTCAGGCAGCAGCGATATCCCGCAACCTGGGATGCGGATGGCGTCTTTGAGGAGTGCGCCAAGGAGTCGCCTAGGATGTTTGTTCTGTTTTGTTCAGTCGGCATCATTGATCTCTGCGTGTTATTTTCGTTGGGCTGCGTCCGATGTTACTGCTTTCGACGTGGCCTGTGTCTTTGATGGACGAACACATGACGTTGTTAACTTGATGCAAAACGGCTCTCATTGATAAATAACAGACTTCATCAGAATCATGCCACAAAGACTTAATAAGACACAAGTCCAGGAACTGTCCCACCTCTGACAGAGGCAGAAGAGGCAGACCTCTCTGTGTACTCTGAAACTTGTTCACTCAGACTGCGTCCCTCACACTCCTTGGGATCTTAGGGCCAACTGTTGAAACTCCATTTTGTCGCTCCATAGCATCGCTGTCTTCCCAAGGCTCCCTGCGACAGGTACCTGGGTAGCCCATCTTTGACACCCTCACGCCATCAGTCGGCCTTGAAGTCGCCCCTTGTCTTGAACCAAGTGACAGCTTTTGCTGTGCCTGGCACATTCGACTGGCCAGGTCGAAGGGCCTCATGGAGTTGCACTATGACTCCATGCGGAAGAAGGCCCAGGCGGGGTGGGCGGGCGCACAACTTGATCGGTCGGAGTCGTTCAGGTGCAAGTATGTGCGACCCCTGACCCCTTGGCTCACAGCTTTTGGTGAGAGTCGGGAGGTTCCAGTAGCATGTGCGACTTGACTCTGTCGTGCCAGTCTTGCCTCAGGAGCGTGCCAAGTGCGAGACCCAGCTGGACACGCCCAGCATGGGCCGTGTGCGGGAGCCAAGCACGGATTTCAGGCCCAGACCAAACAGTTCTTGGGAACTGGGGAATGGTGAGATATTCTCAAAGGCTTAGTTGGAACAGGCCTCAAGCTGCTGGGTTTTCTTTCTGGGCTCCAGAGATCCAGCAGACATCCAGGCCTACACAGCCTGCACAGGCTATAGCGACTTGGCCAAAGCTTTGCGTTGACCTGGCCGGAATCAGGTGAGCCTTTCACAGCTTGGGTTCATTTGTGATGCTAAGGTGGCAATATTCCGGGCAAGGTCTCCGGAAATGTCGCAGCTTCCCACGCAATGATGCATGCTGTGCACACGTTCGCACAACCGCATTCTGCAAGCATTCTTCGAAGTGTAGCAAACGAATATATAAATTTGTGTCATATATATAATTACAGATGGGATACATGTATTGTTTATATGTCATATATTTACATGTTTACATCATTGAAACCACACATATATATATATATATACACATACGTGTAGTGTAATGTATGCATGCATGCATGCATGCATGTATGTATGTATGTATGTATGTATGTATGTATGTATGTATGTATGTATGTATGTATGTATGTATGTATGTATGTATGTATGTATGTATGTATGTAATGTATGTATGTATGTATGTATGTATGTAATGTATGTATGTATGTATTAATTAATGTAATGCAATTTAATGCAATGTAAGTAATGTATGTACTGTACTGTACTGTACTGTAATGTAATGTAATGTAATGTAATGTAATGTAATGTAATGTATGTATGTATGTATGTATGTATGTATGTATGTATGTATGTATGTATGTAATGTATGTATGTATGTATGTATGTATGTATGTATGTATGTATGTAATGTAATGTAACGTAACGTATGTAACGTGTAATGTAATGTAATGTAATGTATGCATGTAATGTAATGTAATGTAATGTAATGTATGTATGTATGTATGTATGTATGTATGTATGTATGTATGTATGTATGTATGTATGTATGTATGTATGTATGTATGTATGTATGTATGTATGTATGTATGTATGTATGTATGTATGTATGTATGTATGTATGTATGTATGTATGTATGTATGTATGTATGTATGTATGTATGTATGTATGTATGTATGTATGTATGTATGTATGTATGTATGTATGTATGTATGTATGTATGTATGTATGTATGTATGTATGTATGTATGTATGTATGTATGTATGTATGTATGTATGTATGTATGTATGTATGTATGTATGTAATGTATGTATGTATGTATGTATGTATGTATGTATGTATGTATGTATGTATGTATGTATGTATGTATGTATGTATGTATGTATGTATGTATGTATGTATGTATGTATGTATGTATGTATGTATGTATGTATGTATGTATGTATGTATGTATGTATGTATGTATGTATGTATGTATGTATGTATGTATGTATGTATGTATGTATGTATGTATGTATGTATGTATGTATGTATGTATGTATGTATGTATGTATGTATGTATGTATGTATGTATGTATGTATGTATGTATGTATGTATGTATGTATGTATGTATGTATGTATGTATGTATGTATGTATGTATGTATGTATGTATGTATGTATGTATGTATGTATGTATGTATGTATGTATGTATGTAATGTATGTATGTATGTATGTAATGTATGTATGTATGTATGTATGTATGTATGTATGTATGTATGTATGTATGTATGTATGTATGTATGTATGTATGTATGTATGTATGTATGTAATGTAATGTAATGTAATGTAATGTAATGTAATGTATGTATGTAATGTATGTATGTATGTATGTATGTATGTATGTAATGTAATGTAATGTAATGTAATGTAATGTAATGGAATGTATGTATGTATGTATGTATGTAATGTATGTATGTATGTATGTATGTATGTAATGTATGTAATGTATGTATGTATGTATGTATGTATGTATGTATGTATGTATGTATGTATGTATGTATGTATGTATGTATGTATGTATGTATGTATGTATGTATGTATGTATGTATGTATGTATGTATGTATGTATGTATGTATGTATGTATGTATGTATGTATGTATGTATGTATGTATGTATGTATGTATGTATGTATGTATGTATGTATGTATGTATGTATGTATGTATGTATGTATGTATGTATGTATGTATGTATGTATGTATGTATGTATGTATGTATGTATGTATGTATGTATGTATGTATGTATGTATGTATGTATGTATGTATGTATGTATGTATGTATGTATGTATGTATGTATGTATGTATGTATGTATGTATGTATGTATGTATGTATGTATGTATGTATGTATGTATGTATGTATGTATGTATGTATGTATGTATGTATGTATGTATGTATGTATGTATGTATGTAATGTATGTAATGTAATGTAATGTATGTATGTATGTATGTATGTATGTATGTATGTATGTATGTATGTATGTATGTATGTATGTATGTATGTATGTATGTAATGTATGTAATGTATGTAATGTAATGTAATGTAATGTAATGTATGTAATGTGTATGTATGTATGTATGTATGTATGTATGTATGTATGTAATGTATGTATGTATGTATGTATGTATGTATGTATGTATGTATGTATGTATGTATGTATGTATGTATGTATGTAATGTAATGTGTATGTATGTATGTATGTATGTATGTATGTATGTATGTATGTATGTATGTATGTATGTATGTATGTATGTATGTATGTATGTATGTATGTATGTATGTATGTATGTATGTATGTATGTATGTATGTATGTATGTATGTATGTATGTATGTATGTATGTATGTATGTATGTATGTATGTATGTATGTATGTATGTATGTATGTATGTATGTATGTAATGTATGTATGTATGTAATGTATGTATGTATGTATGTATGTATGTATGTATGTATGTATGTATGTATGTATGTATGTATGTATGTAATGTATGATGTATGTATGTATGTATGTAATGTATGTATGTATGTATGTATGTATGTATGTATGTATGTATGTATGTATGTATGTATGTATGTATGTATGTATGTATGTATGTATGTATGTATGTATGTATGTATGTATGTATGTATGTATGTATGTATGTATGTATGTATGTATGTATGTATGTATGTATGTATATTTCAATGTATGTATGTATGTATGTAATGTATATACGTATGTATGTATGTATGTATGTATGTATGTATGTATGTATGTATGTATGTATGTATGTATGTATGTATGTATGTATGTATGTATGTATGTATGTATGTATGTATGTATGTATGTATGTATGTATGTATGTATGTATGTATGTATGTATGTATGTATGTATGTATGTATTATATAATGTAATGTAATGTAATGTAATGTATTGTAATGTAATGTATGTATGTATGTATGTATGTATGTATGTATGTATGTATGTATGTATGTATGTATGTATGTATGTATGTATGTATGTATGTATGTATGTATGTATGTATGTATGTATGTATGTATGTATGTATGTATGTATGTATGTATGTATGTATGTATGTATGTATGTAATGTATGTATGTATGTATGTATGTATGTATGTATGTATGTATGTATGTATGTATGTATGTATGTATGTATGTATGTATGTATGTATGTATGTATGTATGTATGTATGTATGTATGTAATGTAATGTAATGTATGTAATGTAATGTAATGTAATGTAATGTAATGTAATGTATGTATGTAATGTATGTATGTATGTATGTATGTATGTATGTATGTATGTATGCAATGTAATGCAATGTAATGTAATGTAATGTAATGTAAGGTAAGGTAATGTATGTATGTATGTATGTGTATAGATATATATGTATATGTATTGTAAATATTGGTCGCGGTGCCTTGCTTTCCACAGGTGGGCTGCAGCTTCAAGCAGGGCAGCCAGTTGGCCATGGACGGGGTGGGTTCGCACGCCGCGAGAGGTCGAGTCGCCACCGGAGCGAGAGGGCGGCTAGGGGAAAGCATCCGTCTTTCGGATTCCGAGAACCAGGAATGGCCTGGCGGCTGTCATCATTGTTTTTGGCAGTTGCAGGCTTAAATTTAAATGCCAGGGACGTTCGCAAAGGTGAGGTGGCAGGTATGCGAGCAAGCAGTCAAAATGAGGCCGTGCCTCTCGTGTCAGGAGACGTTTGGCAGCAAGCTCCCTCGCCCTATGTCTGGAGTTGCCTGTCAGAATCAGGAAGCTGCAGGATTTGTGTTTATTGCAAGTCTCAAGATCCAGAGTTGATACGCGATGACTCAGGTTACTTTCAGTCTATCCAGCCGTGGATCTTCAAGGCGCATGGGCTGTGCCCTGCGCCCTGCGGCATCACCCTGCAAAGGGTTTAGTGCGGAATGGACCCAACCCAAACCTGCGGGGCTGATATCAGACTCCTTGTTTCTTGTTTGGGGGGGGCGGGGTCTACGGTACGGTTCTCACAGGGCTTGCCCACAAGCGTCGGATTTGGCTTTTCAGGCTCCGCTCAAACAGCGTCTCCGGTTGCACTGATGTGAGGCGCGCGGGGAATGCTCATGGCATCCTCTAGCTGAGTGTCGGGGTCTGGGCTGACGGTTGGAACGATGCAGTTGATCTGATCTCGTTCAGACTCAGAACCTCAGAGCCTCCCTTTTGGCTGGGCTTTGCCAAGTTTCCTGCGTGGGCAGGTCTCCGCTCTCGCAAGCCGGCTGGGGAACATTGTCTGGCACCTCCTTTTGAGCCGCGAAGTGTGGCTCGATTGAGTCATTGATTCTGCTCTTTGTTCGCGGCCATGTAGCTCGTCGGGCCATCCCATTTGGGGGTTTGGCCAGGCCATGTTTTGTCGTCAGTGCCTGAGAAGAGGGTGCCCTGGGTTTTGTCAGATCAGATCTCATGTGCCTGAACTTCATCGTGAGACTCTGTTTGGACAGAGCCTCCCGCCGAGCGTTGGAGTTGAAAGCTTGTCAGGGCGTCTCCTGCCGCGCCTAAGGCCAGCAGATGTAGCGTTAGGCAATGGTTTGACATTTCAGCCTTTCCCAATGGAAAGCTTCCTCACAGCTCGCTACCGCTCCGCCATTTTCCACCCTCCTGCTAAAGGCCGTGCTGGGATTTTCGGCAAGTGCATGACAAGCTGTGCTGAAAACACTTGCGATATGGACGAGTTGTGCACCTTGAACTTGGAACTCCAAAACTCTTTTTGGCCACTTCTCATTTGACGGACTTGCAAGCGGCCTTGAAGTTGCAGGCCCAACTTGGCAGCTTCGGTGGCCAGCAGAGCAACAAGATCAAGAAGGTGAGTTTTTTGTCTTTCGTTGTGAAGTGCGAAACTGTGATGAGTTGAAGATGAGCTCAATGCGTACTTGTCCGTATGGGAGAACGAAATGTGGTCAGAGCATGATGCCCACCATCCGTGCCAGCACTATTGCTTTCTTTCTGCAGTGTTGGGAAATGTCACGTGAATTTGCTGAGGTCTTGACAGCCTTTGCTGCTTCCTCAAAGCAGCACCAGCCTCAGCGAAAGCAAACATAGACACAGGCTGTCACTTTCCTCCTAAGCTGCCAAGATATCTCTTTGGAACACTGGCTGAAAAGCTGAATCATAGCTGACTCATAGCTGCATCGTGGCTGAATGGTAGCTGAATCGTAGCTGAATCATTGCTGAATCATAGCTGAGTATCTGAATAGCTTACGAGCCGGGTTGTTGAGTAGCTGATTGGGTTTGCGAAGATTACTCCCAATGCACACTCGGTTGCTTTGCCAGTTCAACAAGAATTCGGGGTTGTTCTTTTTGTGGAGAAGATGGCGGGGGCCCCTTTAGACGCCCGTACGGGCCGTCTGCTCGACGTCACGTTATTCAACTGCAATGTGGGGCAAAGAGAGCAAGAGTATGGCGGCGATGCACGAGAATGGCCGACGCATTCCGATTTCCTCGGTCCTTGTAATTGCATGAAGCAGGCGACCATGTTTGGGGGAATCCGAACATCCCACGAGGGGAAAGGGAGGAGGAGAAGGGGAGTTTTTTTTTCTTCCTCTGTGTGGGTCAAAATTTAACCACACGGGGGCCGGCCGCAGGTTTTAGTCCTTGGTTCCATTTACCAGGGCTCGATTTGGGAACCCATTTTTGACCCACAGCCATATTTAAAAGAAGGCCTTGGGATTTGGCATGAGTTGAGGCGCAGCGAAGAGGGTTGCGGCAGCAGTGGCTGCTGCAATGGAAGCGTCAGGCTGGAGATTTGCTGTCAGAGAAAGTGCATCAACTCGCGCAGCGATCCAGCCCTGTTCAATAGTTTCAGCACTGTGCTAGTCTTTGCACGTAGCTTCGTTTGAGTCTTGGCCGACTGCAAGAGACTGGCGCGAACAACAGGGCTCAACGCCTAGTTGGCAACATATTCGGAATCAGCCAGAGTCATGAAACGAGCCACATGTTTATGATTGAGCCGAGCCTTTGTTAGCCATCCATCATCTCCATCAGAAGGACCCTTCCCTCGCATTTTGAACTTCATGGAAAACAGGCCGTAAAATGCTCTCTTCTCACCTCGCATGCTGCATGTTGTCTCCATGTAAAAGCTCTCTAAGACCGAAAAGGCGCACAAGGTGCGCGAGCTGCGACAAGGTTGTGCCTGAGTGTCCCTTTTGTTCAGGAGAACGGACCAGCTCCTGAACAGGCCCGTGGACTACAGATTACAAGCTGAGTGGTAAGTTTCCCCCTGAGGGTCTACTCAGAAAGCAGGCGGAGAAAGCCACGCGGGTTGGGCTTCCCAGGTGAAGCATGTTTGCCCGTGGCGAGTTGCTGTCTGAGCCAGAACAAGCAAAAAGATGCACTCCTCGTTTTTCAATCGAGCAAGAGCCTGTTCAAACAACCCAAACAGCTGTACTTTGTGGGCATGTCAAGTCGAGGCTTCGGTCCGAAGACCGTGTGAGGTCATGACGAGGCGGGCCCAAGAGCAGGAGGCGAACTTGCTTGGCTGGCACCTCATTTGGCTATGGCAAATCCCCGCAGACGTGGCCTTTGTCGTCGACCGTCTTTCTCACAGGTTGGCTTGCTGCTTGTTAGCGCTCAGGCGATGTTCTCGCCGTGTGCAAGGCTTTGCAACAGGAGCCATGACTGGTACATGTCCAATGTGGAAACTCAAGTCTTGCCGAGGTCAAAGAACCTGAGCAGGTATTCCATAGACTGCAGATGTTGGTGCTTGCTGGCAGTGAGTTGAATCTGCTGTTGGCTCGAACCAAACAAGCAGACAGATATGAGCTGTGCGTGACAAGAGCATTGGTCTGGAACGGCGGTTTGCCGGCGTCGGTAGAGCTCTGGGAGCCCAAGCTGCAAAGCCGGCGCCATTCGGCGTGCTGTCCCCGCCACCTTTTTCGCACCAAAAGGCAGTCATGATACGCATTCTGGAGACGTCGTTTCCCTTAAAGCCAGACCTGCAGCCACTCCTAGCCATACCTTAGCCCTGTGCAGACCCCTGGTTCCGCGCGTCCGCGTCCGCATGGCGCGGACGCTTTTCGGATGGAGCCAGGCAAGAAAGCGCCTGCGCACGGCGCCAGAGGTGCGCGAGGCGAGGGCCTGATCTCTTTCTCCCAAAGGGTCGTCAGTCTGCAAACGTGTTTGGATGGCTTTGAAAAGGGCACTAAATGGAACAAACACGTCGGAGGGCCCCGAAGTATGAGACACATCCCTCATGCGCGCTGTGTGTGCGTGTGAGACGACAATGCACAATGTGTGAATTAATCATCTTCTGGGAGGATTAATCATCTGTGTTTCTCTGCACTCTTCGAGTCTCGCAAGTCACCGGTGTGCAGTTGGTCAGGAGCTGGGGACCGCCTTCCAGCGGGAAGAGGAACTGGAGGAGGAGGTCCAGCCCGAGTTCGCGCCCGGCGCCCGGAAAGGATGTGGTGAGAAGCAAATCGAGCAGGGGCCTCTCACCGTTGCTTCGCTCCAGGCCCAGCTGCCAGTTCACTGGGCAGCTGGAAGATGCTGACATGAAGCGGAAGAGGTGCTCCATGGCGACAGTTCCTCCCCGGAAAGACTTGATTGCTTGCACCACCGGCTGGTGCGACAAATGCCTGAATCCTGAAAATCCCGAACCACAATAGTCTGATTTGCCGCAGCCAACCGAAGGTCCAACCGAAGGCACCAGTGATGAACACTTCCTCCGCTGCGACGCGTCAGACCCGACACTGGCCGGTGGCAGGCTCACGGCTGAAGGCAGCTTGCTGGCCTCGGCTGACCGCTTTGCCGAGGAGCGATGGCCAAAGCAAATGGCGTTTACAGCAAGATTGTGGAGAGGCATTTATTTTGAAAGGCAGACATGCACGACATGCACTGCAGAGGGAGCGGTGGGAAGGTAAAAGTGTAGTAGAAGACCTCGGACATGGTGACATTCAGTTTTGAAGCCTGTCGGGAGATGCCAGGGACTTGAGACAACAGTTTGTTTGTTTTTGTCTCCTCATTGGATCAGGGTCGTTGTGGGAATCATTGACAACTCGTAGATACACAGTGACCTAAGAGCAGCAACCGTGTTCGAGCTGCCCGGCTTTGAAGGCCTATTCAACAAGCCATCAGTAAGGCTTTTGGTTCCATCCTTTCGACCGCTGACTGAGGCACCATTTGATTACATGGCTTTGTCCCAATCGCCTCAAACTCCCCCTAAGGATCTTCTCAGTTTGCATGGTGCCAAATTCAAACCAAGTGGCAAGACGTCTTGGCCGGGCGCCACAATCCTTCTTTTGGGTTGTCTTTGGGAATACTGAGTAACCTGTACAAGGCCCACTGCCTTGCCAGCCCCAAGCGCCATGGCCGAAATATAATTTCTGTTCGGGGTGGGTAGGGGTGGTTATGGTCCCTCTACTAGGGTTTCACACGATGCAAAGGATTCCTTTTGCAGTAGCCATGACCACGACTCACATTGGGAGACTTTTACCATGGCACACACACAGACACACACACACACACACACACACACACACACACACACACACACACACACACACACACACACACACACACACACACACACACACACACACACCCACACACACACACACACACACACACACACACCACACACACACCACACACACACACACACACACACACACACACACACACACACACACACACACACACACACACACACACACACACACACACACACACACACACACACACACACACACACACACACACACACACACACACACACACACACACACACACACACACACACACACACACACACACACACACACACACACACACACACACACACACACACACACACACACACACACACACACACACACACACACACACACACACACACACACACACACACACACACACACACACACACACACACACACACACACACACACACACACACACACACACACACACACACACACACACACACACACACACACACACACACACACACACACACACACACACACACACACACACACACACACACACACACACACAAACACCCACACACCCACACACACACACACACACACACACACACACACACACACACACACACACACACACACACACACACACACACACACACACACACACACACACACACACTCACACACACACACACACACACACACACACACACACACACACACACACACACACACACACACACATCACACACACACACACACACACACACACACACACACACACACACACACACACACACACACACACACACACACACACACACACACACACACACACACACACACACACACACACACACACACACACACACACACACACACACACACACACACACACACACACACACACACACACACACACACACACACACACACACACACACACACACACACACACACACACACACACACACACACACACACACACACACACACACACACACACACACACACACACACACACACACACACACACACACACACACACACACACACACACACACACACACACACACACACACACACACACACACACACACACACACACACACACACACACACACACACACAACACACCCACACACACCACCAACACCCCACCCCTCCCACCCCCACCCAACCCCCACCCCACCCCACCCCACCCCCACCCCACCCCAACCCCCCACCCCACCGCAACCGCAACCGCAACCGCAACCGCAACCGCAACCGCAACCGCACCCGCAACCGCAACCGCAACCGCAACCGCAACCGCAACCGCAACCGCAACCGCAACCGCAACCGCAACCGCAACCGCAACCGCAACCGCAACCGCAACCGCAACCGCAACCGCAACCGCAACCGCAACCGCAACCGCAACCGCTACCGC